ATTCTCCTGGTCTTTGAGATAAGACTCAGTGCATTTATTAGCACACACACTCCTCTTCATGTTTTCATGGGCTTCCTGAGTAAGTTGATTACAGTGGCCAAGCACTGCTAAGCCCAGGACAAAGCCTCTGTGAAAAGACTTTATGCAGTGTGTAAAGGCAGAGGTGTGAAGAAATGTTCCTTACCAGTTCACGCCTTTCAGGCATCACACTGGTTAGCAGCTGGCGCCCTGGGTGTCTTCCCCCTGCATTTGTTGAGCTAAGGGTATCTATCTTCTGCAGTAAGCCAGCTCCCACATTCTGCAGAGAGGAGGCATCTCTGCAAAGGAGAGCTTGGTGTTACAGCATGTGGCTTGGCCCTCAAAGAGGAAAGCATCAAAATCAAGCCCAGGTGGTAGGGCAGACACTGGACTTGTGTTGGCAGGAGTGCTCCATGAAGACCAGCAGGAGGTGAGGTGATTTGACCATTTCCTTCAGTCTCTTGACATGCTCCTTGCTCTCTAGCAATGTCAGAATACCATCTGTATCTCATCCTTCTTTACTGGTGTTTTTTTCATTCCTCCTTAAAGCAAAGCTTTGCCAGTGGAATCATAGGGAAAAGGAAGTATTCCTACATATACAGATGGTGCTTTCAGAGGAGAGATGGTTAAGTTAGTTACTCGTTCATCATCTGCACCCGTCCTTGGTAAAGGTGTCTTGTTCAAAGACCAGATACAAGGCTAGATAAAGCTTTGCTCTGACTTAGTCTGGTTGCTCTGATGTCCACATAACCAGACTAAGTCAGAGCAAAGCTTTATCTAGCCTTGTATCCTGGTTCAGATGATGATTGTGTGGTACCTCGTGAAGAGCAGAAGAATGTGTCAAGGATCTATGACACTGAGTACTCAGAGTTTTCATTTATTTGCTGAAATCAGATTTATTTAGTAGCTCCTGGTGGATTTCTTTTCTATATGTTCATACAGATCATAAGAAAGGATGGGTTAGTGTCTCTTCAGTAGTGGATGGGCCTGATGGAGTGGAATATCCAGTCTATACTGGGGTGATAAATGAAATATTGCTTAATGTGTTGCTTAATATTGGAGATACTCACAGAGGTGGTCTTGTCTCCAGTTCCTAGGGAGCAGGTTAAGTTAAGCTATTCTGCGCATTGAAGCATAACAGATTTTGGTGTCACATCATGGGAAATAATGGTCTGAAGTAGGATGGTAAAGAGAAAGTGACAGCAACTTCAATGTTACAGCATGCTATTATTGATGGTAGAAGTTAATGGTTACATGGATGGGCCTCTTCTACCTGGAAACCTGTTTCTGGCAGGAGTTCCCAGGAACTGCTGCTCTGAAAAGTCCTGGGATGACACAATCTGTTAATATCATGTCATCTGCTTCTCCATCCTAGACCTGCCAGAATATGTATCAATATAATGAAGCTGTTAAGTTTCTTTCCTGTCTGGAAAGTTAGGGCATGGTTCACTGTCCTGGTAAGGCTTTCAAGCCTACCTCTGTGTGAAAGATGATAAATGAAGTGAGTAACACAACAACTCAGTCAGACTATCTCCCAGAGTCTGAATTATCTTACCAGATATTCTGATCCCTAAACCAGACCAACAGGAAATAAGGAAAGACTTGTATAAAAACTGGAAAAATTCAAATTCTACTTCATCAGGGACCTGCATTAAAAGCTCTTAACTGATACACTGCAAACTAAATGTGAAGAGATTCCTTCCTTTCTGGGTTTTGATTTTGCATCCTGAGCTATCTGCTGCTTTTGTGAAACAGCTACAGTCTGGTTAGCTTTCCTCCCTGCATCTCTTCACTTCTAAGCTGTTCTCTGTCTCTGCTGAAGATGAAAATGAGACAGAATGCTCCAAGTCCCTCTGTGTAGGGTTTACAGCATGATTTTGCAGGCAGCATGCAATGCAGGCATGAATCACAACTCTCTTTAAAATACTGCTTTATTCAATACCCAGTCTCTTTCATTTGACAGAACAGGGTGCAGATTTTTGTTTTTAATCTAAGCAATAGCCCATTTACTCCAGAGATGAGTATCTGCTGACTGCTGCTGCTGTTCTTATGCTCAGAATTGCAAACCCCTTGGAAAATGAGGCCAGCTTGAGCATGTGTGTACAAACCTGGTTTCAAATCTGGCTTGGATTCTCTCTTCCAGCTCAGCTAGTGACTGACATGTTCACTCTAAGCATAGCTTCCTCCCGAGACAAGCCGTGGGCTGTGCCAAAGTGCCATGAGGCATTCACTGCGTGTTCAGTCACACACTGGAGGCAGATTCTGCAGCACCCTGGAGACAGGGGTGAGATGAGGACAGTAGCAGCCATGATTCAGAGTTGCTTTGCATTTTGGACTTGCTAATAGGTCATATCAATATCATATCAATAGAACCAAGATGCAAATCAGATCCTGCTTCAGTAACACCCTTGAGTTATTAAGGTTATTTCAAAGAAAGTACTAAACTGGTATAGCTTCTGTTCAGTTCAAGTTCAGATATGGCTGAGGTTGTTGCAGTTCAGTCCATAATAGTTCATCAAAGGAATTCATACTGCAATATATACCATTTAAATACAGAAATGTCCACATGACAGTTGTAATCCTGCAACACCTGACATCAGCCAGAGAAAAACTTCTGCTTCTCTCTCCTTTATCTCTGGTGGAGCCTCCCCATCATCTGTGTTTTCAGAACTGCCCTGCAGCTTGGCTCTTGCCTCCAGCAGTTGGGCAGGGTGGGTTTTGGGGGCTGTGGCTTGGTGCTGGGAACAATAGTGGTTGCAGGACAGTGAGGGCTTGTAATCTGACAGTGCTCTGCATGTATGAGGTGATCAGGTCTCAATGCACTACTCTAACATGTTAACCAAGGAGAGGGGTTTGGGGTTTTTATTTCCTGCTCGTTTGCTTATTTATTGTTTGGAACCAACATAGACTTTCACATGGAAGAAGAAAAAGCTATAGTTGGAAGTGTCTTTCAGTTTAACTTTCTTGTTTGAAGTTACTCCTCTAAGTAAAGCAGCTGGCTTGACCTGGGCATGTTGTGCTTGTATTGTTGCTGTGAGACAATAGCTCAGCCTGAGGGAAGAAGACAACCTACTTACCATATCCTGTGGGAGTTGTTACAGTGGGACTCTAGAAACCAGTGTTTCTCTGAAGCTTACTGAGGCTATCTGAGACTATCTATCTGAGGAGTTAATCCATAAGATTTGGGAGAGCAAAGAATTGAACTGAGGACTATGTATCCATGGGAGACAGGCTTTGGTCTCCTCAGCAGACGTGGCTGGTATCATATGGGCTTCTGTATGCAGCCTCCACCTCTGTATCTTCTTCCCAAATCAGTGCAGCGATATTCCTGCAGCAGAGAACTGTGAAGAAGGGCAGCAGAAGGCAAGGGCACATCATGTCCCTAAATACTAGGCATGGTGTTCAACAGAGGATTCATTGCTAACGCACTATTTCAGCTGACAGGTTGAGAGCTACCTGACCTAACTCCAGTTCAACGTTCTGATGTATCCTAAAAACAGGAGTTTGCATAACTCAAATGAAGAGGTAAATACAGGTTATACAAGGTCTGAAGAGAGCAGTGGGCAGGGGTCCAGCTGGGGTCAGGTTGTTTGCTGCTCTCCTACAGTAATACGACATTTATGATACCAAAACACGCAAAAGAACAAGAAGCATTGCAGCATTTTCTGAAGGGAAAGGGAACTGCTGTACTGTCAGAGGCAGGGATTTTTGGGGGCATGGTTTGAGGTATCAAGACTGGCTATACATTATATCAGGCTTGGGACTGTACTTTTCATATGGGAGCTATTGTGGTTTTTAACAGTAGCAGTGGTCTCACAGAAAGTATTTCCAGGTGATATGCAGAGCTACTGCAGTCATCAAAATTTCATAAGGAAGCAGTGTGGGCAGAGTAGGTAGAGTATGCCAGACCTCTGGTTACCTGATAGCAGAGGGGTTCTAACTCACACCTGACAGCTCAGTGGTGCCAGACACCAGGGGAGGTACAGCTTATTCTGGCTCCACCAGAAGCTATCAGACCCAAAAGAGAATTTTAGCTTAATGAATCTGTCATGTCCTTGTACAGGGGCAAGTGAATAACACTCATTTCCCTTGCAGTGCTTGATTAAAGTAAGAATTTAGTAGCTCTGAGTTACTAGAGATGCATCTTCACTGCAGAGTAGCCCTAAGTGAACTGTAAATATACCAGTCATGGGCATTTTCCACTCAGTGCCTGAAACCATCATTTCTGCAGCAGCACAGCTCTGCAGCTGACCTAATAAATACTGGTGCTGAGCAGGACTAATTATCTCCAGTGCAGTACTATGCTGGCATGGCTGTATGGCTTCCTGCTCCAGAATTAGCTTAGCTGGGACTTGTTTGGGTGTCTGCACTGTCCTTCATGGTATGGTGGAAACAGGCCCTGAGCAACGCTTGGTGGAGAAGCATCACATGCAAGCACCAGACTGCTGTATTATTCTTCTCTTAATGTAATGGGGAAGTGCTGGACTCTGACCAGAGCAATGAAGTCATTTAACAGCTCCTCTGGAAAATTTGTCTTTGACTTGGGTGAAGTTGTGGTCACCTTGGACCTAATTTGGGAGCAGCAAGCTCTTGTCTCTTGATATTATATGGAGCCTCTGAGCAAAATGTTGATTAACATGCTCTGAGTTTTTTTTTTTTTTGTTTTTCTATAAAGTAGTTGCCAAGATAATTACTAAATGGTGCTGAGGTCCAGTTATATCCTAATACAGGTTAATACTTTACATGGAAAGGATTAGATGAACATTTTTTGGAGACCTAATCCCAGCCAGCTGTATAAGCACAGTGCCCACTTCTGTTGGCCTATAAGGAGTCTCAATTTGTTTGTCCAAGTTAATTTCAAAATCACTCTTCTCCTTAAAAGAAGTTGCTCTGAGGATGGGAGATGGGGGATATACCCTAGACCACCATTGCGTGTTTCTTTTGCACTAATGCTTCCAAATGTGGCTTTTCTCTTGTTGTAGTACTGGATAAATGAATACACCTCCACCTTGGGGATTGGTGTCTTCCACTCTGGCATCGAGATCTACGGCAGAGGTATGAAGTTATTTTCTTTCCAGTACCTGCAGAACATGATGACAACTGTAGTTAGTCTGATACTGAAAGCACCCCAAATGTGCAGCTTTTGGCAAGGAATGTTTTGAGGAATGAAAAGCTTGGCCAGTTCTCTTTTTAGAGTCTGTTGTGGAATCCAGCAGGAACTTGAGCAGTTCTGTCATGAACCATATAGCCCTTCATATTTTCACCATGTAATTGCAGCCTCTATAGTTGTGCAGGTATGTAGCAGGATGGCAGATAGGAAGGTCCAAGCAATGTCAGAAAGCTGTTCTGCAGTGAAGGAGGGGAGGAGAGTATGGGAGAAACAGGGGAGGAGAAAGGGAAGCGGATCAGTGGTTGTCCTGATACCTACATATGTGTGCTTGCGCTAATTTCCTGTTAGGGTATATTTGTTTTGCTGCAATTCTTTGCGAATGTCTATGGTCTGGAAATCTTGGAAACTGTTCTTTGAAAACAGCAGGGTTACAAGGAAAAGAAATTGTCTTGTAAGGCTTTTGAAATGGTCTGGCTGGGGTTGAAGGTGATAGAGCATCCATTGCAAAAAGTGCAGTCAAGGGATCAGGGGAAACAGCTGTAGTGCAGTGAAGGACAGACCAGCATCACAGACTTTCCCTTTCTTTCTTCAGCATTAAATGACTCACGCTACTCATGGTATTTTCAGCTGGTGTTATGCAGTAGACAAAACCCCTGGGTGCCATGTGCCGTCTTGAGCACAGCACCTTTCACAGGCTATGCAATATTGCCTGTATGACATGGAAGGACCTCGTGGCTTGACTTGCATGCTGAGTGCAATCAGCTTGGCTTTCTGCAGAGAATTCCCACTCACTGCCTGTAAATCCCTCTGGAAGATTTGTTTACTCCCTGCTCTAGAGAAGACTTCTTCCAGCTCAGTACCACCACTGACAGCCTCTCATAGTTTATCTAGATGCCTCCAGCACAGAACTTCCCACTGAGAGGAAGCCACGTGGATGGGTACAGAGACAGACTGTCAGAGTTTTCCTGGCACTGTGGGAAAGTAGCAGTGTTAGCACAGAGGGTGGCTGTGAGGGCGTCCTTAGGCCAATAGGTAACCAGACAGAAAATGGCTTTCAGAGTCTGGCTGAAACGGATTTTGGCAATAGCCCAGCCCTGGTGCTGATGCTGAGCTGTGCAGACAGCTGCCATAGACTTTTTCCTGACATTGCGTTCATTCAATTACTTACAGTCTGTTTCTTTCCTTGTCAGAGTTTGCCTATGGAGGGCATCCCTACCCTTTCAGTGGGATTTTTGAGATCACACCTGGCAGTGCGGTAGAACTTGGCGAGACCTTTAAGTTCAAGTAAGGGCCCTTTTCTACATCTTCCTCTCTGCCCCCAGTAGCCGTCGGTGCAGGGGGAGCAGGGAAAGTCCTATCCTCTGGGTCTCCCTTTCTGTCTCCTCACAAGCACTGTCACTAACATCCTTCGTGTGCTCCTGGTTCAAAGGCAGCCCTGAAGAGATTTTGCAGGTGGATAAAATGAGTATCACCTGTTTGTGAATGCTGCACAAAGTACCAGAAGTCATCTCTTGTGTTTATTGCTGCTCTGTTACATGGGACAGACCAGCTGCTAGAGGAGTCTGATAGGATGCTGCATTAATGTGTACTTCAAGGTGCTCGGGCTGTGGGTCTGTGGGTCATGGAACTGCCCATGGCAGATGGGGCTTGACCTTCCCAAACTGCCAGTCTGCATTGAGGGTCACTGGAGACTTTTAGAATGAGCACTACTGAGTGAATATTGGGAGAAGCAGTACGTTTCTGCATCAAGTGTTCAGTCTGCTGCTTCCTGACCCATCTCATGGAAACCCTCTCAATCATGAAAGAAGCATCTCCTCTGTTCTACTAGAAACTTCTGTTGTGGGATAATGGGCAGTGTGGGATAAGACTCCCAGAGCTGAGACTTCCCTGGTGGAGAGCAGGAAGCTTCCAGAGCTGTTGCCTGTGCTGTAACCTGCTTTGTGGATAAGCTGAGGATATTACTGTGCCAATATTTTAGTGAGAGTCTCTGATAACCCCAGATAGGTATGTCCATGTTTTAAGCCTGTTCTCTTCCCAATGTCTGATTATTTCCTTCTCCCTGGGTATATATCACTCTCTTCACTGTATCTTTCCATGTTTCCTGTTGTGTGTTTTGTTTTTAACTAGAGAATCCATTGCCTTGGGCACCACAGACTTCACAGAAGAGGATGTGGATAAGATTATGGAAGAGCTGGGCAAGGAGTACAAGGGAAACGCGTACCACCTGATGCACAAGAACTGTAATCACTTCTCTGCTGCTCTGGCTGAGGTGGGCACAGTTATCTTGTTGATACTGTGTATTTTCCTGCTTCACATCTGTAGCAGTGCTCATAAAAAGGGAACTGGGTCAGCACAGGCTGCTGTAAGTTTATCACATGTTTGGTCTATACTCTGTGGTAAATTAGGAGTTTCTTTTCAGAAAGAATTGAGGCACACAGAAGCACAAATTTATCCCAACTATCTGCTAATTCGGGATAATTGATTTTCAATTCCCAAATATCTGATTATTTTTTTGGGAAACTGCCTTCCTTCTTACCCCCCAGATGAGATGTTTAAAGTGTGCTTCGATTAAGGTGTGAATATTCAGCACTTGTGTAAATCTGAATTCAGGATCTTGACCTAATTCCAGAAAAAGACAAGAAAAGCACAAAATGGAAGTGATCTTCCATAATAACTGTTTCTGTGCTTTCCGGTAGGTGTTTATGGCAAACACAAGGAGAGAATATAATTCTTCACAATAGAGTTCACCTGCTTTAATAGTGAAACTTTCATTTCTCTTTCTGGAGTCCTCATCCTCATTCATTATACGCCTCTCACCTTTCTTCATAATATGGGACAAGAGTCCTATGCCAACAACCTCTTTTGGCACAAATGTCCATTCACCCCCAAACAGGCTCATCATGGATCCTGAGTGAAGTGAGATTCTGTAGAAAAAATACTGTATGATTTTGTAAGAAAATTCCTAGTGAATCCAAGAACCAGGAATTCATTTACAAGGGACCTGCTTAGACTCTTAGGAAAAACGTTTCTCTGTTAGTTTCATCCTTACTAATTGCAGAAAGAGAAAACGACTGAGTTCTTTCTTGTAAATGTTAGCAAATAAAAGTAAGCAGGAAGGAATCGCATTGGCACAAACAGAGGATGAAGTTTGAAGTGGTACAGTGATCAAATCAATGTTAGCCACACTACTGTTTTGTTGTTAGATAATCAAATTGCTATGACAGAAAATGGGATCTTTAGAAATTATGAAGGAAACCCAGGAGAAAGCTGTGTGATTATTAGCAAAAGCTAACTCCCTCCTTTTCCCCCTTTCCTGCAGCAGTGAAATAAGGTCATTATTTCACATACTTTGATATGTGAATTTTTCTTTCATGTACAAGCCATAAGCTCAAAGTCATCCTTCCTTGATTCTGCTGCTTTGTATCAGTGAACCCTTCAGTGCCCCTTCCTTACCCAATCTTCCAAACACAAGTCAGATAAGAGATCTTAATAAAAAAATGCCAAGGTATTTTAAATTTTACTTTCAATATGCCTTCAATGAACATCTTAACAGGAGTGGAGTTTGGGGTTAAGTTTTCCTGCAAGAGCTTTCTTGGTGGATTCTGTGTGCTCATTCACTACCCTATAACCTATCCAGATAATAAAACAAAAGCCAAAATGGGTAGTTGTCCCAGAAGCAGAATTTACTCAGAATTTAGGTCAGTTCAAATAAACAGGCAAGCAGAATTATTTTGGTTGTTGCTCTTCGCATATACCTGTGTTTATTGCCCCTCTTTAAAGTATTACAAATGCAAACCCAGAGGAAGTGTTCTTCAGGCCCAGGATGGTCTCAAGCATCAAGATACAGAAAATGGGAGTTGAAATTCTTAAAGAAATAGCTGCTCTTAAGACACCAAGCAAAAGCCCCAGCTATTCAATGTTCTTCAGTCAGCAACATGAGAAATACGTGTAGCTGCCTTGAGACAGATGTCTCCATCACTTCTGGAAAAGAGAATGATTTGCAATCACTGCATTTTGGAGCTGAGTGAGAGGTAGCACAGCTTATCTTGGGATACTTCTGATCTCTTTGAGGAAAGACTGCCTGAAATCTCTTGAGACAGAACCTGAAAGCAATGAAAGTTTCTATTCAGCATCTGAATACTTGCTTAGCTTTAGAGCTTTAGTGTCTTTCTTTTTGTTTTGTTCTTCTTGCTGTAATTTCCATTAAAACTAAACCAAAAAAGAAGCTCCAAGCCCAACCATATAGAGCTATAAGGTGCAGCTCTGTAGCACACAGAACGTTCTAGCTACATGATGACTGGCTCTCAAGAGTGCGTATATATGTGTCACCATAGAAGGCAGAAAAAAACCTCATATTTGTGCCCTAAAACGAATTCTGTGATGAATCTGTTTAGTATTACCCTTTCCTTCAGGCTCTTCGTCTGTGGAGCAGCAATAATAATAACTAGCATCTATTTATGCATAGCTGTGTTATGTGGCAGTAAGAGACAGGAAACTGGAAAATGTATTTGAAGAATTAAAAGATGTAGAAATTTTGTTCAACAGAATAGAGTTGCTCACTGGAACTAGGATTTAACGTCAGCCACACAAAAAGCACCGGGGATTTTAAGTGAGTGTAAGTTCTCAGTCTTCCTGTTGCTGTAGCCCAGCTGAAAGGTGATGCTATCGGTACCACAAAGCTCTTTCACCACAGAGAGGGGTGGGGTGGAGGCTAATTTTTAGCATGAAAGAAAATGACCAGCCCTGCTCCCTACAGTCCTTTAGGCCTTTTGTGCTCATGGGGATAAGCAATTGTGGTGAGTTCAGGAGATGGATGTTCTGAGCCTCCTAGGTAATCCCAGGCAAGCCACATCCCTGCTCTGTGCCAAAGTATCCCCTCTCGTATGCTGGGTTGTTTCCTTCCTTCAAAAAGGGATCTGAAATCTTTTGGTGACAGGTCTCTTTTCTGCCAAGGTTAATTAGCTGGTTTATGGCTTGTCTTGTTCTGTATCAGCATTCAAAACTAGAGCTAGAGCTTTATAATGGCAATGTATGAGTTAACATGTTTACACAGATCTGTCTGGCAGGCCTTGAGATTTGGCTCTATGGCCATGTGGTAGCTGTGTTTGACCGCATTAATTTCCTCATCTGGCTGTGGTCTTGCAAATTAGTATCCTTACAGATGTTGCCCCAGTGGCTGGGCCATGGGTTGGGAGAATACCATCTGGTCATATGGACTGAGGGCAGATGCAGCCTTGTGTCCTGCTGGCTGAGGTTGTGATTCTGCAGGGGGAATGGGAAGGAGGTATAAGGCTGGCTCTCCCTCCCAGATCAGCTTTCTTGGGATCACACTGTGAGACAATGGCTGAATGTTCAATTGCTAGGACCTGTAAGTGAGGTTCCCCATCCTCAGGAGGGTTGCTGAAGCCACAGGAGTTATGCTTTATTTTCAAAAGTTCGTTTTCTTGTCCTTTCCCAGTGTTTTCTCACCAGATAGAACGTCCATTCAGAAATTGTCTGTCTACATCTGTTTATGAATGATTTTTCTCTCGAATTCCTGTTTGATACAGTGATGCCTGAGGTCTTACCATAATGACACATAGCTGTCACTTTTAAAAGGCTGACTTCTGATGGTTACGGGCATGTCCAGGCCTATATTCATGACTCTGACATTTGGCCACGCATCTTGAAAAATCCCTGGACTACCTGTCCAGCACAGGCAGATAAGCTCCACTTAAACACTGGGTATGCCATTGACCTGTTATATACCTCTGGAAAAACTCCTTTTGCAGCGCAATAGCAGCTTAATTGTGTACTGCTATGGCACTGAGCATCACCCTACAATGCCATACCTCTCTTCTGAGTCCTCTGGTCCTCCTGCCCATGTTCACTTGTAAGCTGCAAGGGGTTTTGTTACTTCCTCAGTGGCACTTAGCTCTGAATTTTCCTTACTCCCTACCACAGATTGCCAAGCATATTCATACTTGCTCAAGACTTAGATCTCTCCCCGCTTTGCCAGTTCCCTATGGACTCCTAACGAGCAGCTACTGGATCAAAGAGGCTTTAGCTGGGTCTACTCACAAAGCAGCTCCTGTGGGAAGAAAACAGAGAATGCCCTGGTTTCAGCAGCAGCAGTTCAGACTTCATCTTCTCCAATGCCATTTCATGGCAGCCTTCTCAGTAAGTGATTCAGCGAACATGCTGCATGATCAGTAGTCTCTCCTGTAGATTTCCTGAGAAATTCTTCATCAGGGTACTCTGGGTTATTTAAGAAGTGAAGAACTACCACAGAGCCTAAGTCTCTGCCTAGTAAATCCTGCACACCATTTTAGTTTTGAAGGAAGTTCTGATGTAAAGCAGGACAGGATTTCCTAGTAGATAGTCATGAGAAAGAAACTGGATGCACTCCCTATGCATTTGCCCAGCTTCAATTTAAGGTTGGTATATACACGACTAAATACCCCTTTGTGGTCTCCCTTTACCCTTACCATCTGCATCAGTGTGGGAAAGTGAGGGGAGCTTGATCTAGGACGTGAAAATCTGGTTAGGGTTGTCTTAGCCACTCTGACTCCTGCAACATGGTCCCATGGTACCTATATTTTATAAACCATTTAAATTGTTTGTGGGTTAAAATGCAGAGGGTCATTAAACTGGGATTAGAGATTTGCCTAAAAGAACCTTATTCCTTTCACGTTGCTTGCGTTGATAGTGCCCAAAATCAAGTAGCATCAGTACTGCAGTCTCTGAAGAAACTGTCCAGGAGTATGGGTAATCATTTTGGAGAGACTTATGCTCATAATGAACACAAAGAAAAGTCAGTCAGGCCATCAGCGTCAGAGCCCAGACTTCCCGTCCTGTTCTACGGTTATGTGCCTTTCTGCATGTCGGTACTCCAGGTGGGTAATACTGCTGGCACACAGCAGCGAGATTCTATCATTCTGATGAGGTTACGCATGTGTGGGGAATTCAGTTAGGACCACATCAATATTGCGTAAAGCCCATCTGTTTGATCATCTGTTGTTAAGTCACTATGTTCCTAACAATCCCCCATGTATACTTAAAGCAATACATTCAAATGGCCCTTCAAGGAATTGCAAAACATTTGTTCTTTGAGTTGCTCTGGTTGATGAAAGAGGATATTTAAACTTTGGCAGATGAACATTAGAAAAACCTTTCAAAACAAAAAGAAAGGCTAAAAGAGTTCTTTCCATAATGTGATTTGTTGAATCTCCTGATTTTTCAGAACAAGGACATGTGAGACAGCAAAATGACAGAAGTTACAAATTGCTG